AGGCATAAGTTACTTGCACCTCAAGAGAGATTTTTTTTTAGAGATGAAATCCAGAAAATACAAAAAAGTTGCTACTATTCCATTGAAATTGAGCTCTATACTTTGTAAATTTTCATCTCTGAATCAATTTTTGTTTCATTCTTGGTCTGTGCTTTGAATGGCTTGAGGTTTAGTTAGTGAGGGCAGATCTTGGCATTTGTCGAGTTGAATAGGTGTTGGAGACTGGTTTCAGCTTGGTTGAATTGCATTTTTGGGTTTGAACTGGGAATTTACTGTTCCATTGGATTTGGAACTGATTATGTGGTCTCATTACTGAATCTGGGATGTTCTATTGCTGTTGTTAATTTTTGCTGAAATACCAATTGCTGATTTTCCATTGTTTACTTGTTTCCTTCAATTTCAAGTACTCATCCCACTTTCAAATGTATGAAAAATGGACAAATATGAAGACTGATTCATGTAAATAGAGATTTGTATTAATGCAGTAGTCTATTTAACTATTCTGCACTTTCAAAATTGTTAGCTTAGTTTAGTTCCTTTGTATTTCATTTTGTCTGCTCTGAATCTGGATTGTTGTAGTGATATTGGTTTGATAGTTCATTATGAGGCTTTAAATGTGCATAAAAGATCATGTTGAGTGCTTGGTATTGTTGCCAGTTGTATAGGTCCTTAGAATTGAATGATCATCCATTAATGCATCAGTATATGCTCAGCATAAATTTAAATTTGAGCATGGATCTTTTATTTTAAGCCTGAGCATGCATCAATGTTTTTTTATTTAGTTAGAAATTGGTTCTATATATCACATGATTCAAATTAGTTTATGCATAGTGATCTGGGCCTTGGTTTAACAATTGCAATAATGTGCTAGTTTGGTATTGATTTCCACCTGGGTTCTTGAGTATTAAAACAACTGTGAATCATACTGATTTTTAAAAAATCAAAACTGGGAGTTCAGTGGTCTGTTTGCATTCACTCTCTTAAGGGCTTGTATCGATATTTTGATTTCACGTATGGTATGTACGAATTGTGATTCGAACTCAAGTCGCTTCAAATTTGGCTCTCAATGTTTTGGGCCATCCCACGGTGTTGGTCCGCGAATCCGTATGAATAGACACGGACCAAGTTTTCTTTTAGCCACAGCAGGCTATTGGGCCCCACGTCTAGCCCAATTCGAATCTCAGTTGTACACTTTTTCTTAAAATTAACTGGTTCATTTGCACATATGATTAATAGTCCTTTTGGTAATTAATTAGAACTTTAGTTATGGCTAGTGTTATTTAAGCCCTTAGTTAGAATAGAAATTAAACCGTAATAGACGTTAATAGTTCGTGACTCTGTGAATTTTATTTAGGACATCCTTTAAAATAAATCGAGGCGTGCCAAGCCAAATAAATCCCAAATGTTTGGCCCTCGTTTAATTATTTTTCCTTAAAATACTCAGAATTCGAGACGCGCCATTTAGCAAATTTCCATGGCCCTCGCAAAGTAAAACGTGCAGTTGTCTTAGGAGCGTATTTTAATAATATTATCTTCCTAAACCAAATCCAAATCCTAAAATGCTGAATAAAATGTGTTCCGGATTGCGGGTGCATTTCATGTGGCGCGATCCAAAGGCACGTTTTAAACGACGTTCAATCTTCTTTAAACAAGTAAAAGAGGTTAAAAAGCTAAAATCGGCACATAAGTTCATAATTGGTTAAAATTAGATAATTAAGCCGAATACGTGCTAGAACCACGGAATTCGGGAATGTCTAACACCTTCTCCTGGGTTAACAGAATTCCTTACTCGGATTTTTGGTTCGCGGACTGTTAAACAGAGTCAAGTTTTCCTCGATTCAGGATTCAACCGGTGGCTTGGGATACCATAAATCTCCCAAGTGGCGACTCTAAATTTTAATAAAATAAATCTCATTTCGATTGTCCTTTAATTGGAAAAACTCCATATATACACCCTTCCCGGATGTAGGTGAAAAAGGAGGTGTGACAATCAATGTATTCTCTTTGAATTTGGACAGTCTTTTCTTTCCTTTTGAACTCTGACTGAATCTTCCCTTTCTAACATTGAGATGTACCATGAATTTGGTCCTTCCTTGACAACTCCGTATGAATCTGGACGATTGTCGAGTCGTCTTTCAATCCCGTTGAATTTCTTTCCTTGGTCTTCTACCGGATTATACGGCACAAGAGAATTCTTTGATTACAACAAAATTGTTCCTTACAAGAAGAGAATCGTGCATCCTGTTAATGGATAAGTTTTCCATATTTGCTTTCACGTAATGGACTAGTTGACCACTTTATATGGATGTAATTCCATATATTGTGTTGTTCCTTATATTGTGAAGGACTTTTCCTCTTGAAGCATAAGCAATTAAGTGCCTTGTTGATTGTAATAAGGAAAGATAGTAAGTAATTTCCACATTCTTTCTTTATCCCACGTGAGATGCTTTTTCCCACTAAATATTTTCTTTATCATTTTGTGAATATTCACAACTTCAATCTCCAATAACTTAATGGAGTAAACACTGCAACTTCACCCGGTTTTTGGTTGATTTCTCCATTTGATTGAACTTTACTGGATCTTCTCAAAACGTATCCTTAATTTTCTCGGCAGACATATTTTCTTTCCTTCTGTTTTTCTTGTACTAATCTTCTAAAGATCTTCTATAATTGTTTTCCATATCTTCTTTGATACATTTTGAAACTTTCTTCCGGCAAGGTAAATCATCCCAATAAATATAAATAATATACTCCATAAAAGTAGTATGCATTGTAAATATTTCCTTCTTTAACTTTGTAGTAAATCAACCATCATTCTTCCATCTGCTTTCCATAATAAACCTATAGCAATAAATTTATCACAACTAAATATTCTTTGATTAAACTTTATGTTAGTTTGGTATCATCAAAATTAGTTTATGAAACCTTGGGACTAACAATATACATACAACATCACACGTATAACCACCCAACAATTGCATGGAAGCTCTTTTTACACTCGTTAACTTGTAACTTTCATGACTAAGACTCCGCTAAACAGTCCGAAACTTAAATAGTGCCCTTTTGGGCAAAAACTACCTTTCTACTATTAAAAAAAGTTACATAAGTACATAAAACGCAGTATAGTACTGCGTTTTACTTTAACGGAAAGTTAACCGTTAAAGTTAAACGCGGTATTATACTGCGATTTATTAAAAAAATATTGAGCCCACCTTATAACTCTGCCATAATGCCTATATTTAATTAAAGGAACGCAGTACAATACTGCATTTCAGGGAAACGAGTATTGTACTGCATTTTCCTTTAATAAAATATAGGGCCCCTACTTCTTCCCCAAGACAACAACTCCATTAAAAAACTCCCCCCTCCTCGCTGCTGCCCCCCCCCCCC